AAAAGAAAAAAAAAGAAAAAAAAAAAGAGAAAAAAAAAAAAAAAAGCCGGATTTTCGGTTGTTTCGAACTAGCTGGTACCTGCTTGAATATTAGTGGATGGACGGGTATTCTTTGAACTGAAGAGCATGGCCAGACCTCTACACGAAGTCCAACTAAGAGCCATCTTCTTATTGCCGGTAGGGGATGGGTTGCGGGTTTCAAGTGCTTCCACGAAGCTACGAAAAAGTTTAGGAATCTCATCGGTTGGCATAATCTTTGTCTGTAACACACGAGCAGCTCGTGTTTTGATATCACGGATTCCAAGTGAGCCTTTAGCCTTTGTTACCAAGAAACTGTCAAGTTTTCCACCCAAGTATGCCATCTGAAGAACGGAATCTTTCTGAAATGGTGCTCCAAGAGTATAATTTCAAGGGGAGGATTGTTATCGCGATCTTTAATGAACATGCTTACAATACTATGTATGCCATAGCTCGTGAGGTTGGTTTGGAAATTGTTTCTATTTGATATAAACAAATGTGTTGCTATGTCTTCCATAGCTCGTGGGGTTGGTTTGAAAGTTGTTCTTATTTGATATAAACAAATGTGTTGCTATGTCTTCCATAGCTCGTGCGGTTGGTTTCAAAGTTGTTCTTATTTGATATAAACAAATGTGTTTTGAAGTTTTCGATTATTCCACTTCTTTCACAGTTTTCTTAGTGTGTGTTTGATATTCGTTGAATGAAAATGGATGCATTTTTCATGTTTGAGTTCTATACTATTCTAAGCATGTTATGTAGTTTCCGCTCGCTGGATTAGATATATAAATCATCTCCGATGTTGCTTTTCTGATTATGGTTAAAAATGAAGTTTCTTGTCTGTACATTGATTCAGAATTTACAAAGTAATAAATGGAAAAAAAAAAAAGAAAAAGAAAAAAGAAATCGTTTCAAGTAGGGGATTTTGTCCAACTGCGTAGATAATATGTTACAAGTAATGAAGAATCAGGTATTTAATTTTGTACCTTAAGAATATAGTTAAGTTGTTGTGGGAGGAACGGGAATAGAAAAAAACAGGGAGATGGTGATGACGTTGATCAGTATCCACAGATTGGACACGAGTTACCCGTAGATGATGCTCTGACGAATCGGGACAAAGAAAATTCCGTGACTGAGGTCAGTGTAGTCCATTATTTCTAATAATCTGAAAATTGCATTCTTATGGTGCTTTTCTAAACATAATAATTTGCAGTTACAGAATGTAGAAGCAGGGCAGGTCTCTCTTTTGTCGAGGCAGATGGAGCAGCTTTGACATATTTTCAAATCGAATGTATAAAATTTTGTTGTCATATTTTCAAATCGAATGCTGAATCATCAGGTTCTTGCAACTTAATAGGCTGAAATCATCGGGTGGTTGCAAAAGTTGCAATTGTAAGAGTTTGAAACTGTAAGTAGATCCAACATTTTCACCAATATTTTATAATCTTGCAGCTCCCATTCAACTTGTTTGTGATTTGTTTCTCTACAGTTAAAGCGCGTGCGGATTCTTGTGTTTGTCAAGATTGCTTTAACAGACCTGAATATGAAGATACAGTTGTTGAGACACGGCAAAAAATTGAATCTCGGAACCCTCTTGCATCTCCTCCTAAAATCGTACGACCTGCAACCAGTTGTGGGGTATTTATTGCTGCCTTCAAATTTGTAATTAAGAGGAACATCGACAAAATTCTAATTCAAATGTTTGTGATCTTGCAGGAAGATGGTACCGATATCACGCCATCCTCAACAAGGAATAAAAGAGTGTGCAATTGCAACAAGTCGATATTTGCGCATTTATTGTATCAAGGTTTTGTTTTAAATTATTTATTCCCTTTGTCATACATGATATCTTCAGAATCTTCTAGAAGCTCAGACAATCATGTTCTGAATTCTGAAACTGGCGACGGAATTATCTAAAGGAAACCTGTCAATGCATGTTTTTCTTCAATTCGTTGAAACTTATAAGTGAGATACTGTGCACTTAATTCCTGAGATAATTTGTGATACCATTCCTGCAGGAAAAAAATATAGTTTCACAGTGGTCAGATGGAAGGAAGAATATATTACTGCCACTTTACGTGAGTATATAATTATTTAAATAAAAAAGGATTTGGAGCTTGTTTTCATATTTAGATTATTTTATCAATTACAATGGTATGCTGTTTTTCGTAAGTTCGTACCGTTTTTGTGGATTAGTGTAAATATGCTCGGCTGAAAGGATTGTTGTTATTATTATCTTGCACCATATTTTGTATTAGTATTAGTATTGGTATGGGGTCCACTCTTTCTTGATCGAGGATTTTTTTGCTGAATGAGTTGTCGTCGCGGTGGCTGTGCGTGCCGAGGTTCTCGCCCAACAACTGAAATTTTGAGATGCACATGAACTGCTTGCTTATTGCTCAGAGAGAAACTTCATTTATTTCAAAGCCCACTTAATGAATGGCTGCTTCGAATCGAATTCAGGTGAAAAGAATCTCAATTTTTGCAATTATCTTCTTTCCTAATGCATTTAAAATCTGATACTTGCCTGAAAATCGTGATAAACGTTTCTTGATGTTATAGATATAGCGCTGCCACGTGATGAATTATCCTTGCGGTGCATCAAAACGATGGCGAGTTATCAGGTTCTGAGTCCAAGTATGTTTGGAGCAACTTATATTCTCATACTTCGCCTGCAATTGTTTTTTTTTTTTTTTTTTTGCGTTCAGCTGTTATTTCTGTATGTGTGTTATCCTTTTTAAGCTTATGGTATATCCTCGTAAGATGCCCTCTCTCACTCTCTCGCACACACACAGGAGAAAACGTTACGTAGTTTTAGTATCGAACGGAAGCTTCAATCCTCCTACATACATGCATCTGCGTTGTCTTGGTAAGTGTATCTCAGCATACATAAAGAAGCCTTGAAATCTATTATTCGTATATTCTTTGCTAGCAAATGTCTCACTATACTTACACTTGTGTATGGATATGTGTTGCATATAAAGTTGACGAGAGTGCTAATTATTTTGCAACTATGCTACGTTTCGCTTGAGGTTGTATTGATTTATCTTATTTAATGCTCAGAGTTGGCAAGAGATCGATGCTTTGAGTTCACAAGGGTTTTGTGTATCAAAGCTGTCTCTTGTATTAAAAACGGAGCCATATCTCGCCTTCGCCACGAGTAAGCATTATTTTCTCAAAAAAAAAAGAAGACGAAGATTATGTTCATTTATTTATTTTCTCGTTTTTTAAGGGGGGCATAGATGTAAAGTTCTCGATAGGCACAGAAAGATTGATGAATGTACCTTTGAGCTACTTAGAGATCAAGAAAACGATGAACGAGACGAAGTGGAAAAAGGATCGAAGGTGTGAAAATTGATGAATGTACCTTTGTATTTATATTATTTATTGTACTTGTGTTTGCATTTACTTGGATTTTGCTGTGAAGGGATAAAAAGAAGGGTGGTTATATACGCGGCGCCATTTTGGCGTGCATGCACTTTTTTACCATAAGTTTTTACCTTTTTACATTTTTTCTATCAAAGCCTATAATCCTTTTAATACCCGAATTTGCACATTCAAGTCAAAAAAATTCAACAATTTTGAGATGGATCAAACGAATATAGACACATAGGTAATGTTTTCTTTTTTTCTCGAATATTCATGTACTCGTGTGATATTACATGACCACATGCCATGTGGTCGTGTAATATCACACGAGTACATGAATATATTTATTTTTGTTCTTCAACTCGTGTGGTTTTTGCGCGTACACATGCCATGTGTCGCGCAAAACCATAAGAGTAGATTTTTTTTTTGTTCGTGTAATTTCAGGTGAGACCTGAGCACCTGAGACTTCCTGTTATTAATTCTTCTGGTCGATTCGTGTTATAAAATATCTCAAGCGGTGAAAATACTTGTAAGAAAGAAGAAGATGACTTTGCAACAATTTACACAATGTCGAATCTCTTGATTGAATATTGAAATTAAGCATGGCCTTAATTTTATAAGTTCTAAACTGACTCATATATACATTTGCTCGATTTCAACTATTATGCATATGTGCGTTACGATTATTATTTTGGTTGTTTACGTTTTGCACATACTAATTCCGCTAATCCGTGTGCACGAAAGACCCGTAATTCCATCATCAGGCAATGCATGTGGATTCAAGTTCGATTTTTCTTTTCCCAACTCTAATAAATATTTATTTCTATATGTGGACAACTAAGTGCATACTAGAATCCGTTATAGAATAACCAATTCAATGCGTTGAGGTACTTGTGGTTCAAGCTTTTGTTTTATGACCTTCCTTGGAATATATTCCTCTTTCGGGTGAATTCCATCGTTGGGATCAATTATTATTTTCTCAAGAACTGCGCAGTTCTCCAAAACGTAGCTAAGTAATTCAACATCATTAGTGCAACCATAATAGCCACGGAACTTGAACACTTTAAGGTGATTGTGGGGAGACCTTATAGTAGTAGCCGCCTTCGTTTTTCTATCTTTCCTCGGAATTCTACACCATTTAAACTGCACATTTATGAGCTTTCATAAGTTGATTATAGAAACAAACCCCAATTAAAAAATATAAAAAAAAAAAAAAAAAAAAAAACGTACGTGAAAAAGAAATTCCTCCAAGTTAGGAGATGCCCTTATCAAAGCAGACAGTCTAACAAGACTCTCATCACCGTTCGCAATATATTCAATGACCAACTTGTTGAGTTTAGGCATTACGGGAAGCTCGCAAATCTCATCGATTTCTTTGACGTGTCCAATCCATCCGTATCCACAGTTGTACAACGTTAAGCAAAGAGTCTGCAATTGAGGAATGCAGCAAGCCAGTACACTGAATGCATGTTTTATCGATACACTGTTGTCGTCACAGAAGTTGACAGATACATTAACAAGCATCGGGACCTTCTCGAGTAAAAGTCCCTTTACTCTCGAGACTTTAAGTGTAGTAAGCCTTGGCGCGGAAACTTTAAGTGATTTCAAACCCTGGCAATGGACCATCTCCAAGTGTTCTAACTTGAGGGACGAACCACCGCAAACTTGGAGCTTCGTTGTCGTTTCCGATTCCTGGACAACCAATTGTTCGAGTAGCTGACAGTTACGTAACAGGAACTCGATAGCTCCGCCACTCAAACTAACGGATTTAAAAACAATTGCTTTGAGGGACTTAAACCCGACAAGCGTGCTTCGGTTGAGCAAAGCTTCGGGGAAGCAATATGTGGTCCCAGTAGTATTTTCTTGGAAGTCCAAAGTCAACCTCTCGAGTTGTCTGGCAAATGCAAATTCAAGCCACCGAGTGACTGACTTCCTCGATGATTTGTCTATACGGTAACAGATGTTGAATTCTTTTAACGAGAGAAATTCTCGCGATCGAATAACGGAATCCATCCATTCCACATACTTGTGTCTCTCGATCACGTGCAATGCACTTTTAGCATCAAAATTGAGACGAGGGATGTGGGCCCACAAGTTCGTCCAACGAGAAGAAAGAACACTAGTTCGGCCTGCTTCCTTGAGCGACAGCAACGGCAGTATATTATTAACCAGAATATCATCGGGCAACTGACTTATCCGATCTTCATCGCCCACAATACTTGTCTCACCACACTGTCAGTCAAACGAGATAATAAATCGTATATTAGTTGGATCTAAAAACATAAACCCCCACCAAACTTCAATCTTCTTGCAAATTGTATAATCATATCAGCAAATTAAATCAGGGATTTAGTCTACCAGCAGAGTTAGGCACTTTATACCAGAGGCACACACACACACACACACACACACACACACACACACACACACACACACACACACACACACACACACATGATATATATATGTATAGCAGCATCAGCCAAAAAATGAAAAAAATCCCCAATCTTTAGCCTTAAACAGAAAATTGGTATAATCCCACCCATAAAGATTGAATCTTTGGACAAAAACCTTTCAATACTGATAACAAAACCTTGAATCTTTCAACAAAAATCATTCAATACCACATAAAGCTTGGATCTTTGATATATATATATACACACACATGGCAGCATCAGCCAAAAATTGAAAAAAAATCCCCAATCTGTAGCCTTGAACAGAAAATTGGTATAAATTTTGACTCCCCACTCATAAAGATTGAATCTTTGGACAAAAACCTATCAATACTGATAACAAAACCTTGAATCTTTCGACAAAAGCCATTCAATACCACATAAAGCTTGGATCTTTGATATATATAACATATAACATATAACATGATGTAAGAAAAAAATCAAATTAAAAAAAAAAAAAAAAAAAAAAAAAAGAAAAGGCAAAAGCTTTGTCGAAAGCTCACCTTCTTGGGTTGAAAATTGGTATGAATTTGGAGGCGCTCCACAGCCATAAAGCTTGAATCTTTGGACAAAACTGATTCGATCTCTTGGTAAGAGAAGATGAATTTTATACCAATAAGGGAGGATGAATTTTAATATTTTATTGAAAAAAAATATAATATTTGCTCTATATTGTTTATTTTATTTTTAGTCGGAAAAAAAAGTATTAATATTAAATAAAACTAAAGGTAAAAGAGTCAAAATTTGGGTTGCAAATAATACTAAATATTATTTATTACTAAATATTATTAATATTTCCTAATGAAAGTGAACTCCTAATCTAACTCAAATAGGAGTAACAAACACACATAAATATTATATTTGATTTAGATTGCAAATATATTTTTTAATTAATCTTGATTTGTTTGATTTCCTTATATACATTAGTTGATTTTGAGGTCGAATTATATTTTTGGTCCCTCATCTTTACGCAAAATTACACTTTTATTCCCTCATATTCCACGATAAACAAATTTCATCCCGTATGTTACCAATTTGTACCATTATTGTTCACCCGTCATTTGACCATCTATTATAATATTTCATATTTATTACATGTTATTTCCAATCTTACTTACAACTTGGACGTAGTACCACCTTTGCAAAGTCGTAACCTTTTCCGAATTCGGCGGTTCGGTTCACATAGCGTAAGGGGGTAAGATCGAAAATACTTCCCATAGATTTTTGGCAAGGAAGGGGAAAGGAAGAGGAAGAAGAAGAAAAGAGGGTGTGTTTTTATCATTAATTACCCAATTTTCTCTTATTATTCAAAGGTTGCAATTATATAAAAACGGCGTCGTTTCTTCAAAAAGAATCTATAAAACATGAAATCTATCTCTAGAGTAGAAAAAGGTCAAAATCAACATTCAACAAATTGGATATTCCTCATAAAGTTCGGACAACGACACTTCTATTCCGTACCGCATTCGCCCTCTCTCTCTCTCTCTCTCTCTCTCTCTCTCTCTCTCTCTCTTTCTCTCTCTCTCTTTCTCTCTCTTGTTCTAGAGAGAGAAAGAAAAGGAGAACAGAGATATCAGATCTCCTCTGCTGCAAATTCGTAGCGTTCTATCAAGGTGATTTTTCTCTCTTATTTTTCAGTTTGTTTGAACTAAGCTGATGATTGATTAGCAATTGAGTTGTAGTCAACCGCGCTTCAAATACGAATCAAGTTCAACCAACGATATTTCATATAAATATTTATGTGTGTGACAGAGCAAATTTAAACAAGTTTGCACATTCGACACGACTCACTTTGAAATCTACATAAAGAAAACATTTTTTTGTACTAAGTATAATTAAATCGATTATTAAAAAATTATCATCAGGGGGTGTAGCTCATATGGTAGAGCGCTCGCTTCGCATGCGAGAGGCACGGGGTTCGATTCCCCGCACCTCCATATCTCATTAATCTCTTACTAATTCAAGAATTTAAATTTCACAGTTCTTAAATTTTATATAATTAGTTAAGATTAAAAATTAACATTTAATAAATATAAAATATTATTTTAAAGTCAATTATAAAAAACTTATCAAAAAAAGAAAGATTAATTGTCTTTCTAGAGAATTTTTATTCTTTTCAAAATAATTGTCACTTTAGGATTCCAATGAAGTATTTATTGTGTTTTCTCAACTATGCCCTTATTACTATTAAGAGAATTAATGTTAAACATTTAATAAAAGTGGTTTTATTCATTTTATTATGATTTTTCTAGAATTTATGCACACATTAGTTTTTTTAATATGTGTGAATTAGCCCAAAAAGACTATTAAAATGAAATGGAGTAAGTACAAATTAGTAAATACAGTGTGAAATTGTCATCTCGGAACATGAGGGGCATAAAGTGTAATTGACGTAAAGTTGAGGGACCAAAAATATAATTAGACCAAAAAGGAGATATTTCCTTCCTCAATTCAAACGGACGTGTGATTTATTGTAGGAAAAATAGAAACCAATAATATCGGAATCCTTGTTTAACAAGAATCCCAAGTATATGTATATAAGATTATATACCTGGATATATATATACACATACGTTCCTTCACAATTATCAGACAAATAATATATTTAATTTCTTGTCTCTGTTTCCTTTGTGCTTTCAACCAGCATGGAGGCGCGTGGAGAACAAGAACGCAGCTCCGATTCAGATCACTGCCGAGCAAAAAAGAAAAGAGTACGAATATTTAATCCGAAGGGCTCCCGATTTGGAAGTGTGGCTTTCGTATATAAGATTTGAGTTGAGGTTTAATGAGATTGAAAGGGCGAGACCGATATTCAAGCGATTGGTCGATTGTCACCCGAATGTCATTGCATGATCGGATTTGCTGAATTCGAGATAAAATACGGAGACATAGCGCGTGCAAGGAATTGCTACGAGAGGGCTGTCGATTATACATTCGAGGGTGGTGTTGATGAGGCGAAGGAGTTGTTCGTGGCTTTTGCAGAGTTTGAGGAGAAGTGCAACGAAAACGAGAGGGCCCGATGTATATATAAGTATGCGTTGGACTATATTCCGAAAGGGAGTGCTGAGGAGATTTACAACAAGTTTATTGCTTTCGAGAAGCGGGTTCGGGGATAGACAAGGAATCGCGTATGCTATTTATGGAAATAGGAGGCTCGAGTAACTCGATATATTGTCTCAAAATTGAGATTTTTTGAATTGACTAGAGGCGAAATTTGGAATAGAGATTCCCCAATTCCTATCGTTTTTTTTGAAACGATTCGAATTCCAAAAATGTAGATCTCGAAACAATATTTCAAATTTTTAGACTATATTTTATTTTTTTTAATATATTTCTGAAAATATCTTGAAACAATTTATCGAGTTGTTTTTTTGGAATTTACGCGATTTCGATTTTATATTAAATTTTAATTCAAAAAATTAAATAAAATAAAGTTTTGTTTTAACAACAAGCAATGCGTTCTATTTTCATGTAGTGTTGAAAATCGAAAGCACGTGAGAGGCGCATGCCATTTTCCATCCAATTCCGTTAAAAACAGCATGATTAAGGACTAATATTGTAACTCCAGGAATGTTTAGGGACATTTTTGAAAAAGTTGGTAAAGTATGAGGACGAAAAATGTATTCTTTTCCCAACCAAATAAGTTCATACATTAATCAAAACAATTTACTATAATATTATTCGTTAATACATGTTTCGTTCAAGTAACCAACTGAAAGGATCTTCTGATCAATCCAGAGATTATTTGGATTCGAAATATCACACATTGATCAATCAAATCAATTTTAAAAAAATCCTAATGCAAATACTTCAAAATTTGTTTGCTTTCAAATTGTGTGATTAACAATTTACTGATCATAAAAAACTGTAGATGAATAAAATTTTCAAGGCCTGAATGATGCGAAGACAGCTACAGAATTATGTCCCCCGAAACCAAATGAGTTAGATATCGCTGCAAAAAAAATCAGAATCGCGACATTTCTTAATTAAACAACATAAACATCCAAGCGACCATAATAAAACTTCTTAGTTTTCTAATATTTTATAAAAAACTCTAAATTATATTTCATTTTCAATGTACTGTAGTTGTGAGCCACATAATTCAATACTATATAGGTTAGGCGAAACTAAAGGAACAAGTTTACATACCGACATTTACTTGATGTTGTTTCTTCACATTCGGGACAGTATCGATTGTGACATCGGATTCCAAATCCTATATATACGCATATAAAAGTTTATCGATTGTGACTTGATAAAAAAAAATTAGAGGAAAAAATCAAAGTTGTGTTTTCTTTACATATTGATTGATTGTTGGATGTAGCCAACCAGTATTGATTGCTTTAATAGTTGCTATTGCTTCCAATCCACCGGAAGCTCCAAGCCCATGCCCGATCATTGACTACGGCAGAAAAACCGAGAAAATCGATCAAAAAAATCCATATAATATAATCTTCAAATTTTGTAAATAAGGAAATTACGGCCACCCCTGATGTATTGTCAAATTACAAAAAAAAACCTCATGTTTGGGTAATTACAACCAGCCCCCTCAACTATGAATTGCCTTACATGTTCACCCTTGCGGTGTTAAATCCAGTGGAATCTTCTAGATTATATGGAATATTCTCCAACTCGTACCCGTTTTATCCTATTCGAGCTTCACATTTTGAAACAAGATGATCATAAGATGTATCTATTGGCTTGTAAATATGAGATTGTGGTGCATCGGAAACTGTATTTTTGCACAAAACGATTACAAAATAGAGAACATTCCACGGAATCTAGAATATTATGTTGAATTTGACACCATAAGGATGGACGTGTAAGAAGATTCATAGTTGAGGGATGGTTATAAGTACTCAAACATGAGGGTTTTTTTCGTATTTGACCATGCCTAGGGAGGTGACCGTAATTTACCATATAAACAAAGAGGAATAATATATGTCACCTTGGTGGCATTCATTTTGATCTCAGAGGTATTTTTAAAGACCTTCTTGATGGCATTGACCTCAGCCAAATCTCCAGCAGGTGTTGATGTTGCATGAGCATTTATATAGTTCACCTGTCATTTAAAAAAAAAAAATTAAATATTCCGATTAGTCGGGTTTTACGAATGATGCAAATAAACGAAACAACTGATCGACTAATAAATAAAACCTCTTCAGGGGATACTCTAGAATATTCCAAACCCTTGATTAAGCAAGACGAAACGCCAAGCCCGTCCGAACAAGGATCGGTTATATGATGAGCATCACTGTTGACAGCTCCTCCCAAGTACTCTGCAATTATATTGGCTCCTCTTTTACTTGCATGCTCCAAGCTTTCCATAACCTGCAATACTTATAACTAATTATTTTTTTCGTACAAAAAATATATAATTTTCTTCTTCTTATTGGTAAAATTAATAACTAATCATATTATATGAAAAAAGTAAATATCATGTCATTTTCTTATAATTAGCATATACTTTGTATAATCGAAAGTTGGGAACAATGCAGTTTTTGTCCCTCAAGTTTGCACCAATTTTATATTTGGTTCTCGATGTTCACAAAAAACACATTTGGGCCCTTATGTTTAAAAAAAACAACACTTTTAGTCTCTTGTCAATTTCCAGTTAAAACTAACGGAA